CTGTATAAACAATTACTGAGAATAAAATCACAAATGCAGTATAAAAAAATCACAGAAGGTGTAAACTTTGTAAAAAAAAACAAAAAAAGTGATTTCTGTTGACAGTGGTCTTACTTCCATGAGTAATGCTCCAAGTCAGTCATGTTAGAAGTGGATAACAATGAGAGGCAAACGTCTATAATTGTGACAGGTCTTTTAGCCACAGATGATGGATGGAGCCTGTGATGCAGACACTTCCTGTTTCTCTGGCAGCAGAACTGCGGATGAAAGAGCTGCAATGTGTTTTCAAACTGAGGAAGAACAATAGGTCAGAGGAAGAAAGAGTTCCCCTGACCTGACCCCTCCTTCTCCCACTTCTCTTGAGACACGGGCCTGATAGTTCTGACACGACTGATCTCTGGCTGACTCACACAAAGAAGATACCTGTGGGCATAACCAGTGCTGCTGCATAAGCACCTGCTTTGTTTTGAGCAAATATTTTAGGGAATAATGCATGATCAATGACAGTGCAAAATATTAAGGCTTAATTATTTTTCAAATTTATATTGATCAAATCTATGACACTGTACAACGTTATTCATGTATTCTGATGACTGAAATGTATATGAAGGAATCAATAATATGAAAACCAGTAGAAAGCAAACCAGAAAAGGAGAGCAAATGGTAAACAAAATATCCATCCAGTCATTTTTTTTAACCTGCCTTTCCTTTTCAGGTTGCAGGGAGCTGGTCCATATCTCCAGTGGTCACTGTGCAAGAGGCAGGAAACTCTCTGGACGGTTTGTAAGTCTATCACAGGGCCACATAGAGACAAGCAACCATTCACACTCTCACTCACACACAGGGAGAATTTAAAGTTACTGTACCAATTCATCTAACATGCATTATTGTTGTTCCGTTAGTGGAAAMCTATAAGTACCCGGAAAAAAAACACATGCACACCAAGAAAAAAAAGACCCAGAGCAATCTCTCCAGGTCTTTTCACAAGACAGTTCTGTGAAATGGCAGCACAGACAAGTCCACCTTTATCCTCTTTTTCATCATTCATCAGAAATGGAGCCAGTCATGTTTTTCTCAGTTGTGAGGATTCATAAAAAATGCAGGCAGTGCAGAAACAAAGTTGGCATAGTAGAACCTGGCAGGACTGGAGCCTCTTTAGGCATTTTTGCATTATAGGGCCCAACACGGCATCTGGCCTGGTCTGTGTTTGCATTGAGCAGTGCCTGCTCTAAGTGAGTGGGATCATTAAACACACACAGTCTTATTTTGTTTTGCTCGCGACAAAACAAAAATGGACCACATCAAACTCGGAGGAAAAGTTCTGAATATTGAACTGGACCATTGAGAAGTCAGGACAATACAGGACGGTGAGCTAATGTTAGCTTTTTGTTAGCTTGTTGTTGGTAGCTTGCAACTGTTGTTGCATATTTAAACATGTGTAATACAGCTGATGCAAAATGATTCAAGAAAAATTACTCCCTTCTATGAGACGTATTCTAGGTCTGTATGAACCAATAAATGATCAGCAACTGATACCGGGCTGAGCAGCCTGGTCCAGTTGGAACTACAGCTCTCGAGGTTTTAGAAATCAGGGTGGACCTGGGCCAGAAGAGCTAATGCAACACTAGCTATGTTTATATGCACAAATTTTTTTTGATCGGACTGAAATGTATTTGGATTAAATAATCCGAATGTACTGTTTACATGGACACAATCCGATCATGACAAATGTTTACATGCACGACATGCGCTGTGTTGTAAACGTTCAGCTCCACTTMMGWGTTACAAACGTAAACAGAGCTCTTCTGTGCGCTCAGGACGGACCCATGTCARCTTTTAATAATGGTAGAGACGTCGTTGGCCTACTCCTCGGTTGAGCTGCAGATGATGTAATACGTGTTTATTTATTTAGTTATTTTGTGAAGCAACGTCTGCTGTTTGTCTCCTTTTTTATCTGTTAAGAGAGCGAGGAGGAAAAGTTATGTGCGGCGCAGCGCAGCTGGAGCGCTGCTGCCCCGCTTCCTCTAAAGAGCAGAACCGGATGGATGAAAGTCAGAAGACCTGCTCACTCAGGTCAGTTTTCCACAATCAGAATAAGATGATCCGATTAAGTGTTTACATGCACGTCATTCTGATTATCAATCGGCATAACCCACCCCCATTCGGATTAAAAATTCATTCGGATCGAGCTCAGTCAGATCAGAATAATCCTAACGGGCTGTTTATATGACGCATTTTTATTCCGAACAGCCGTTTAATCCGATTACTTACGTCCATGTAAACGTAGCTAGTGCTGACCTCGGGTTTAAACTCCAGACAGCTGGGCTGGGCTGGGCTGGACTGGGCCATGCAGTGCAAAAATGCCTTTTGTGGCTAGCTATTTGCTTTAAACTAACAAAATATTGATGTGCAACATCATCATCAATATTCCCTTGGWAATACATGTCCTTGTTGTTGTTTACTTCTGGATGCAAACAGCTGCACACTAATTTCATCAGTTCATCACACAACAACACACTGCAACATAGGCACAGAGGCGCACCAGAGGTGGGCTCTCTTTGACCCCCTCATTGCTGCCTGAGTGTGTCTTCTGAGTGTTCTTGWGAATGAACTTTAAAGTTCACACACATTTTASCTKAATATTTATGAAACAGATTGAGTTATAGCTAGTTTTGTGTTGGCTAAGGTTGATTAGCTGTACGCTGTAGTGTAGTGCAATGGCATYACACCCTCCATAAGGTAAAGGCCCAGAAACATCCCACACTGTTACTCACACTGTTATAGCCTCAAGCACTTCAAATGAGATAGCCTCTGCATGTGTGCTCATGTGGGGGAATAGTGCACATACACTGGCAGCCTCACTCTTTTATTCAAGGATAGCTCTTTCATCCTCTGTGAGAGGGCCGCAGGTTCTTGCCMTCTGAGCCCCAGAGATGAAGTCTAGAGTTTACGTGCATTAGATTTCCCTCCCATGGAGCCGGCCCTCCCCTCACGCTCACATTAAAGAGGAGGTGTGGATTTGCTTGTTGGTTTACTTTTTCATACTTGTTGTTTTAGCAAGTGAAGCAATTTTGAAGAAATAGTTGCTATTAGGTGTGTTACTAAAATGATATAGCTATATTTTATTACAAGAAGTACATTTTTGTACATTTTTTTTTCAGTCTTTAAGAAAATGAGTCAACAAGATCATTACTGATGTGTGGCTCCTCTGCACACACAGGATCGATAGAATATAAATATAAATAAATAAATAAATAAATAAATAAATAAATAAATAAATAAGTAAATACGTATATATAAATACGTATATAAAGGAACCGTGTTGTGGAACCATGACAAAAACAATAAAAAATCAAATGTTGATATTCACAAGCAGTACAGCATTATAAAATATTTTGAAGCACATGCTTTGAGTGTCTGATCTGTCCAAACAGATACTAGAACACAATTATGTCACAAAAGATATAACTAAAACAAATATTAATAGTAAAATGATAGTTTAGAAGCTGGGTTTCAAATTGGTGCTAACCCTATCTGTTAAAACAAACAAACAAACAAACAAAAAAATCTATTTTTTGCAAATGCTATTCTAATAACT